AGGTGCGTAAATTGTGGTTGCAAAACCAATTAAACAATGGTTTTGAGAGAGCGTATTTAACTCTTTAAGGTTATGTCGGAACATTGCATCCAAAATTTATTAATAACTCTGTTTAGCATGACAATTTATACACTTTTGTGATTGAAGACTCTAGAGTGGACTTCTGGCGACTTTCACGATACGTTTTGGATCACAATTTGTTCGTCGTTAGGTATTTATTAACATTTTTCAAAATAACCGCTACGATGTATTTTCAAATAATTTGACATTGCCTCCGAAAATAATTAATTTAGCCGTTTTCCAAACACAATTCATGCATCTTTGTATCCAAAGAATCTAGAGTGAAGTCTCAGCTAGATTCCTATTATGATTTTGTAAAGATTTGATGCGTAATAAATGAGTTATTAACAATTTACAAGGTAGAATGTGCGACAAAGACAGAAATACCTTTTCCGTGCCTCTAACTCTCTTTTATACACCTTCGGATAGAATAGTATCAGGAGCCGTAGGAAACAAAGTTATTGGCACGTTCAGACTATTGCCAACCTTGTTGCGCCATCTACCTGTCCTTGTCTGAACCGTTACGGCGATAGGACTGGAGAATACTCCCGCGCTAAAATTGTTAATAACTTATTAATTACGAACCAAATGTGATTGAATTTGTGATTGGTGTGTTGCTAGAAGTCCATTCTACATTCTTCGATTATAAATAATCACAAATGATGTCTGCAAAGTCAGGAAATTAATTATTTGTAGAACGATGTTTAATTTTTTGAGGTTACGCGGGGATACTGCTTGTCAAAATTAATTAATAACTCTCTAATAACGTATAAAATGTGATTAAAAACTATATGTGAAAGTAGCTGAAGGTTCATTCTATATGTTCCAATCGCAAATGTTTATAAATTATTCGTGGGAATTGAGTTATTAACGAATCGTCCCTCGATTTGTTACGTCGTGAGAGAGTCTCACTGTCTGTCCTCTTCTCGCTCCGTGAAACGCATAAGTTTGTCCTTGTCGGATACCTCCATCTATATCATGTGTTCCTACCACTTACCAGGGAATTCGAAGTCCGTCTAAAAAGTTGGTGGCAGAACCGGGTCATCTATTCTCCTTGTCGCACACTATCTCTGTCCTTGTCTTACACATGGCAGAGATAGGGAAAGTTAGTTCACAAACCCGCCACCGTAGATGGCGCCACCGGTATGGCTTTCTATTCTTATCGCACAATCGTTCGCTTCTTGCTTATGCATTGCAAGCATTAGAAAACTAGCTGGTCTTTCGAAAATTGATAGTTCATATTTCTCGAGTAATTAGAGAATTTAAATTGTAAGTATTTACAGTTTCCAAATTTATAGAAAACACCGGGGGACTTGAAATATTGAGTAAGACATGCGTGTAAAATTTTCGAAAAGTGAGAAACTTTATAGAATTTGGAATAAAAAGTGAGGCACTTATGTGGGCTCAATTTAAAACTTGATGATCGCATGATGTGCTTGATAAGTGATAACTATAATTTAATACCAAATTTTTCTTGGTGAAAAAAAATGATTAGACTTAAAAAAATCTCTAAAGAATCGAATGTATAATTTTTTAAATCTTTGTAAGAAATGATTGCTACAATGCAAGAACTTCTGTCACCGTGAATTTCGTGTTCTTCGATAAGTAATAATCATTTAATTTGGTTTCAAAGTTGAATAAAACTAAAACAAAAATATAACCAGAATTTCTTTTTAGTTTCTTTGATCATAAAAATCTATTACTTGCAGAGGTAAAATAATTAAAGACCGAATTAAACAAAATTTGTTATCATACTCCTTTTAATTGAACTACAGTTTATTGTTTCCACTGCTACAACCAATATATCGCATTGTTTGCACGACGTACCAATTTTCATTCAAGAGGTATTATGTATTGTACAAGACATCGTAAAATCCAACAGTGCGTGGTTACTGTTTAGCTTCCCTTCTGTCTAAACGTGCTCTATAACGCATAATTTCATATGCACGCATATCTCTTCTAAAACAGAGAGCATTGTAATCTTGCTCTTTAGCAAGAGTCTCATGCATTATTCTGTTCAATTTTTTCAATTCCCTTAGTTCCGTCATCTTAATGCAATGGTATAAACGTCTCTCGTAACTTTCTTGAGTGCCTGTATACAAGTATCTGGCAATGAATCTTGTAATAGGCGACTGTAAAAAGTAACAGAATATGAAGAAATCATTTCAATTCTTATTTATTTACCATTATTTAAATGTTCTCCTTCCTCACCCTGTAATATTCCCATTCCTTTGGAACATAGCCTTCTGGAATTGGTGTCAGTGTAGCTGGCCCAATAAAAACATTAGCATAGGTGACAACACATAAAATTGGTATTAATCCAACAAAAAAGTAAAAGTGGAACCAATCCTTAAATTTGTGGTATTGCCAATCTGTGGGCTTTACGACCATAGAATTGTGAGACATACATCTTGCAATATCTGTAAAAAATAAATTAATGTAACGAATCATCTTCAACAAATCATTCTTAGCCATATATTTCACATAAAAAGTTTTATAATTACGTAGATATTTACACATTCATTGTACATATTTACACTCTTAATAAGGATCACTGAAATGAAAACTCACTGGACTTCGAAAGTGCTGTAAACATTTATTAAATAATTGTCCCACTTTCTTTGACATCGATGCAAAGAAATAGCATATGGGAAATCTATGTGATAATCATATTTTCTCTATAGATAGTAATTCTTTCGCTGTCATTCTATTATTTCAAATGCAGAAATAGGAACCTTGGTGGTAAATAAACTACCAAAGTGACAAAAGTCATCGTATATTTTTATGAAACTACTGTATATGTTTCTACCGATCAATAAACGGCACGTTTATTACGATGATACTGGTATATTAATATTTTGTCAATACTAGTATCAGGAACTATAAAAACATCAAATAAGTGTCCTCGAAATTGGAGACCGAATAATTATGACAATTAATGTGCCTACAATAGTTACATAACAAAACAGTAACGCTTTCGGTGATAGTGTTTCATCCGTGAAATGACAAACGATATCGTAACTATTTTGTTTTTATCGATTCAAACTTAACTGTTCTTTGGCACTGTTTTCACCAATAATCCATAAGGTTTGAAGAACTTTTGTCCAGTGGAAAACAAAATCTTACTCCACGTTGTCATGTTGAATCTTCAATGAAGAGGAGTATTTCTCTTTGCCATCAACTTCATTATACGCGCACAGGTAAAAGCGCTGAGTTAGCGGCGCTGTCTACAATGTAGATAATACCGTACGCAAAGTTATCGACTGAGTAGCTTTTCGTTCTAGGCGCGAAAATTTGAATCACAGACTTCCTCTACCACGAACAGGAGAGCGATATATAATTCTTTACTATTTAAATTTAATACCGTCAGAATTTAATAATTAATCGTTCAAACAATGAAGTTCCAAACACCGCGATTTCTGTACAATTACTTCTTTCTGTCTCTTACAGCAGCATTACACAGTAGTCATTCTGATTAAATGTTAAGATACCATCGCTGAGAAAGTATTTCCAGCAAATGAAAATCGTTTCTCGATCGTTCCATTATCTACGCACGCATTTACATACATATACGAAATAAAAAGAAGAAATTCGCGCGCACAGCTTTCGCGACGAGATCTAATATACGAAGACTAGCGTCAACAAAGTCGGGTCAAACGAGTAATTGATCCCAGGAAACGATTCTGTATTACGAACACTCTAGAAACCTTTTGATTACGGTGCTTCAAAAGAAAGAGAGAAATAATACAAACTGATGAAACAACACTCGATTGCTAGACTGCAGATTTTACGCAGTTCGAACAAAAATAAGCAAATGAGAATACAACAAGCTACTTTATTGCAAATAATGCAGAATAATTTTGCCTTGCACTATAAGACCGACAGATTATTAATTACATATATTATCATTCCTAGATTGTGCGCAGGCAAAAATGTAAATATTATACTTTTCTATTACTCTTAGGATATGTTTCAATTAAGGATCAAGATATGATAGTTGTATAAAATTCGCAGTCTATGAATTCCTATAGACATTGGCATGTTGTAATTGCATGGTCCATTCAAATATTTTGCTCTATTTTGCTGACGTATATAAACGTCCGCATCTTCTGACAACAAAAGCATTCATCGGTCATTCCCAATTGTTAACGAATCGCACGATTTCGATATAGGCGAAACGGATTAATGGGGGCTTACAATTTTCAGCGGACTCTTTAACGCGACCGGCTATGCAGAAGCGATCGAAGAATATTTTGATGGTAGGCAGCGATCGATCGATTGAATCTACAGTGAGAATCTGGGTTCAACCGGTTAACGAGGAGGACGAGGAGGGCCGATTCTTGAGCAGAATAACGCTCAGAGCATTTGCATGTTGAATTTATTTTGTTGTACTTTATTTACTTCTTCATCGAATCATTATTACCATTATCATGTAATAATAATTAATAATTTTCCGTCTCGTTTCTGTTCTCACTTTTGTGTTATATCAACCTTACATGATAGCTCTTAGTATTTTTTTATTAACACACGCGTTGCTATCACCTTGTTTTATTGTGTTCGATAGTTGCATCGTATCTATTACATAATACCAAGATCGTTTCATTAGAGAAGATACCGTTTTTGCGTGTGCAGTTTTGTGAATCATTGCGATAAAAAGATTATCGAGTTCGCTACGAATCGAAAGAAAAATGTTTTCTAAAACGAACGACCATGCAAAAGTTTTAGAACATGACTTTCCATTCGGTATATTGGCACGTCGAGTCCGATAGCAGTGTCTTTCCGAGGGATTCGTCGTTAAAAAATCCGCCACTTTACCTGCACTAATCTATTATCATCCTCTTAAGGTGTTACATTATCAGATATACGCGTGCAATAAATCGATACTACAATATTTCTCGGCCATTGAAATCATGGAAAGTTATCGTGCAATTGGCGTAACTGGAACGTAATTGATGCCGTCAAGCTACCATAGATCATTCTTAATCGTCTCGGTAATTTTTTCATTCGCACAGTTCAATGTCATCGCGATGTCTTCTTCAGGTGAATCCCGATGAAACTTGACGCGCAAGTAAAATATTTCATGTACATGTATTTTATGAAATATTTTAGAACGCAGACGGTGCTGTTAGCTCCTTTTCTGTAAAACTGATCGTTCCGACTACCATGTTCTTGGGACTTACGATCTCCCTTTGAAAAGCATGCTCTTCTTCGCTGGCCAGGTCACTCCGCGGCATAAAAGTCATTAGTCGATATCCGCTACCGCGGATCTCTTTAGTTCCTGTTCCCATCAGTTTTATGGTATTATCGGTAGTCGTGTCAGTTTTATAGAGTACACCTACCGATTCCGCCAACAAGGCGACCCTGAATAAATGGGTTAAAGACCGCCAGCCTTTCCCCGTTCGTTTTCCGAGTGATCTCAGGCGCTGAGAGTCTCGTCGCGGATCGTCCACCTCACGTGTTGCATCGCGACAGCAATTGCAGCCAGCTCAGCAAGCCTCCTATGCAGAATTCATACACACGGTGATCCGTGGAATCGGTGGAGCCGAGAGTATCCACGTGATTCTCACGTCTCCGTTTCATTTTGCCCCCGTTGTCGTTTTCGTAACGCCGGCCGTTGTGCACGTGAACCTCTACGTGGTTCTGACGTCCAACATCTGTAAATCGTACTGTCTTGTCGCCTGCTAGCTCAACGAAAGCTGGACAGCGAGTTAAAGCTTCTTAGGATAGAATCTATTTGCGGCGGTCTGGTACTCGTCGGATTAAATGCTGATGCTTGCTGTTTACACCCATGACTGTATTATCTTCCGATACGCTGTTTCTTTCGAGACGGTCTTTCGTTTTGTTCCTGGACAGTAGGCGTTTTCTGGTCCTTCTTGAGGAGTATTCTTGACGATCGACGAATCTTGTATTTTTGTTTAGACAATTTCGCAGGTGTGCAAAGAGTCTCCTCGTTTGAAAAAGTACAATAAACTCCCTCTAAAATTGATGCTCGGCTTGGAAACAAAAACGGACAATTTGGGAAGAGGTTCGTGCCGATTTGCGACTCGTTTTTATACCTACCAATTGTTAACAACTATAAAAACGAGCCACAAGGCTGGAATGATCGTACCACCTGTTCCCAAATTGTCCATTTTTATTTACTGTACACCTATGTTTCAAATGTCCATTCGTTCCGTGTGTCTTGAGGCGGCTCCATTCATTCGTAAAATGTTTTCATCCTTTCTGAAAAATAAACAGGGTAAATATTTTATCGCGGATAAGTGAATTGTATACATTAATGAATCTTGTATTTTAACGAGCGAGATTACTTAGCTCTAAGCGGACCTACAAAGAATCTAGTTATTTAATAACTATATCTGCGCTCGACGTGTCTATTCGTTCTGTTTCTCCAGAGGTAGCATCATTTTTTGATAAAATGTTCCCGGATTCATTGGCACGTTTCTTCCAAGTGTCCTTTCTGAAAAATATCACAAAATGAGAATTATTTTAAAAACAATTTCAAGAAGTAGACTTCTACAGATCGATGTGAGTTATGTCAATGACTCTTCGATGAGCCGATGATTACTTCACGATTCCCCGCGACAGCTCTCATTTCCTGTTTTCGCAGTTTTCGAATGAATATGGATTAACCGATGCTGCCGACATATGGAGATCCATTGCGGCGGCACCCTTTCGCGATCGTAGGGAACGACTATGTTAAACATTCTTGGAACTCTTCCAGATAGCGCGCGGAATTGATATTTAGAAATGAGGGATCGAATGGCACTCTGATGAAGCGTAAATCGCAGACGCTATACGAATCGATAAGATAACTTTCAGAAGCTATTTTTCGACGACCGATCATCCGATTTCAAAAATTTAAAATACAAAAGTTTCGTTTTGCAAGGCTGCTGAACAATCAAAACGATTCGGTATCCTTTTTCTAGAAGAAACAAGACTGTTACGAGCGTAATATTTGAAAATTACCAGAGAAACGTGAAGAAGTTCCCACACCTTTTTATTCTAAATATTAAAAAATCATTCTTTATTCTCCCGTGAAAGAACGAAACAACTTTCCAGAAGACCCGAACTAAGATAAAATCGTAACTCGTAAAGGTCGAATCAAAAAGCTCGACAGACTCTCGTTAAAATCGAAGTTAAACGCTGCTACTTTTTGCTACTTGTCATTTCGTGGAAACCATGGACCAACGCTTCTTTATGCAGCTTTCTAATCTGGAGGATACCTCGGACGAAAATGAGAGCGAACATCGTAGTGACTATACCGAGTGCGAATAAAGTCTTCAAACAACGTTAATTACTAACTCTCTGTAGTCCAAATTGTTCATACGGGTTTATAAACAGGTTTATGTCACCCGAGATCGGGAAATATCAATCATCGCATATAAACATTTCAAGACATTACATTTTCTCGGATGTGCGAAGTAGAAAGTTGAAAATTACGATGCGTGCAATCTTCTCGACTGTGATGGAGAAACAACAGAACCGGCTGTCCTCGTGGTTAAAAATGAAATTAGCTTAAAAAACATAATGAATCCAGAGGTTTAAATTAGTATTCTTAAATTAACGGAGAGTTATAAATCGATTACACGATTTCCTGCATGTTCCGCGTAATCTCCGTTCCACCGAGGGGTTGAACGCCCGTAACTCCGTACGAAATTCCGATCTCCACCTAATAAAAATATCTGTACATTCTCCAAGGCTTGCCAAACACGCCTGCGAACACAACGATCGATATCTCCGTCTTTTCCGTTTCAAAAAAAATTGCCGAAGATCGGAATTTTGCTCGCGAAAGCGAGCAGACGCCTACAATAACGCGCTCGCCAAGGGATGAAATGCAGCAGAAATTGAAAATTTTCGCAACCAGGGGGAAAAACAGCTCGGCCATCGTTGGGAGGGGTGAATCGATCTCTTTGTGGGCACCGACACCGACACGCCGGCACGAGGCAGTCGACGTCGGCCAGAGACGATCGACCGACGCGGCTTGTCGTTTTCAGGCTTCAGTCGCGAACCGACCATCGCGCATCGAGCCTCGTGTCCGTGCTCGCAGTCGACCAAGCAAGGTTCCTGCTCCTTTCTACCAACCGATCGAAGGCAGCCAGAGCCGCCAAGAGGTCCGACAGAGCCGGCAGAACCTGAAGGGAGCCAGACAGAACCCGAAGGGCGCCCGGCGTTTTCGACTTGCGAATCCTGTTGGCCCGTTTCGGTGCGATTAGGCCCGGAACTTGAACCCGCTCGCCGGCCGAAGAGCCACAGACACTGATCCTGAAGGTGAGTACGAACCGTTTGCTACCTTATTTACACAGTAGGCCCCGTGTACACGGAAGCAAACCGGATCGAAACCGCTCGAAACGTTGCGCCGATAATAGGTGACACGGACACGGACGTTGACTTTCATCGATCCCTCGGACGAGACGGATTTTGCTCCCCGATCGTCGAGCTGCTCCTTGCGTAGGGACCGTAAAAGGTGGCACGATGAAAGTATGTATATGGGAGCCAGCATTGACAGGCGTCGAAAGATATTTGCAATTTAACGAGACGCCGCGCCGGCTCCGAACAGCCGAGCTTCTACCGCGGCTGGTACAAATTATTTGGAAATTAATGGCAGCTGACGCGTTGTCGGGGAGCTGCGGCGAGACTTCGGGATAAAGGATTCCGTGTGTTGTTGTTTCTTATTCTGTGTTCGTTTCTCGAGGAAATTCGCATTAGCTCCGTTTTCGAATGTTAGTGGACCATTAGTCTGCATGTTTTGTAAGACAGGATAGAGAAACATGTTTCCGTGTAATCCACCGTGGTGTGGATTTCTCAATTTTTGTGGAACGTGGCGAAAGAATATTACTTGCAATTATCTGGACGGAATGAAATAGCCGTAATCTACGCTACGGTCCACGCATGCCTCGTGAAACAGCATAGGGAAATACTTGTCCAAGTAATTAACTTTGGAGCAGATTTCTCAATTTTTCTGATACACGGCGAATCGATATCATTTATTATTATCATCTGGCTGATATAAAAATTAAGAAAAGCATCATAAATTAGTTCGTAGCCGTAGCCGTAGAAAAATACTTGACTAATTCGAACGACCATGACTCTCTGTTTCATTCGATCAACAAAGAAACGAAGAGTTCGCGTTCGAAGGATCGGAAGGGGACTACGGCCGCGTAGCAGCGTTTCTTCGAATGAAAATCGTTGGCGTTTTGAAATTGCGTGTGTATCGTTGCGAAGCCGAAAGTGAAAAGTCGGTCGAAATTTATAGAGCGCTCGTTCTCGAGAAAACCGTTCGCGTCCTGAACGCGTAACGCGCGTTTCACGCAGGAATACGGACGACTGCCGTTTCAAAAATAGACAGACCGTGCGATAGGGACCCACGCTGATTTCGATGGATAGGATAACGCGCCACTTCGAAATCGCTGCTTGGTTTATTATGATTGTGTCCGCCCGGTTAGGTGTACAGGTTGTCCCGAAATTAGGTGACCAGGCGACGCGTTCCCCTTGAAGGAACGGACGATGTGGTCTCGAGGACCGTTTCCACTTCAGGAATTATCGCGGAGGGCGCTCGGTCGGAACTCTAAAATAGCTGTACCATAGAAAATCGGACTATTTTATGAAACACAACGTAGAAACAAAAGTCGGAGAATCTTTATTCTCGTTCTATTTCCAAAAATAATGGCCGAACCGTCAACGGAACCAAGAATAAAGTTTGAGACCGGTCTATGGAAAATACAGTAATGTCTCTCTAATTGATGCTCAGATTGTCCACAGAAATGGACAATTTGGGAAGAGGAGACACGATTATTCGAGCCTTGCGGCTCGTTTTTATAATCGTTGACAATTCGTTATGATAAAGACAAACCGTAAAGCTCGAATGATCGCATCTCCTCTTACCAAATTGTCCATTTTTGTGCACAATCTGAGCGTCAGTTGGGGAGACATTACTGTATAACGATTGCTTAAAGCGACAGAAAATTCTGTAACGACTGCATCGCGATTCGTCGCGAAAACTTTGACTTTAAAGTCTATTAACTTTCAAGGCTTTGCTGCATATTGTCGCTTGTTATTTCTGCTGCAAACAATGATCGGGGTTGTTCCAGGTGTTCGGATAGTCTCAGACATAGACGAACGCTGCAACACGGTGATATATTCCACGATAAAGAGTGTTGACAAGCTGGAAGTTTAAGTTTACAGGCTCATTGCGATAAGAGACAACGACTGTCGCGTATCGCACTCGCGCGAGCAGTCTTTGCATTAACATTGCACTCGCGACTCGGTTTTTCCACAACAAATGCACATGCATCGGGTCGGGTTCGAATTGTACCGGCATTCGGAATCTTTCGCGTTCGTACGCGTTATTTTTCTGCAAATGAAATCACCGCGCGCCAGAATTCGATCGCAGCGTAAAGTGAACGATGCGATAATCCTCGAATCACACCTGCGGCTGTTTTCCGCCGCGTTTGTCCAACGGAGCGATGATTTTCCTCACCCCTGACCTCCTCGACGTCGACACAATAGGCCGGAACGTTGCCTGGATTTGAATGTAGGTTCCCTGATGTGCGTATACGATACATATACATATATTGTTGATTCAACGGAAGCGTAAGTTGTAGCCGACCGGGCTCTGAAATATAGAAGAAGAGGGAACACGAACCAGTTCGAACAGGTTTTCGTCGAATTCCTGCGAAGTCTAGCAGAAAAATGTGACCGTGATAAGATACGATCATAAAACTTCCGAAATAAATAACTTGACCGTGCATCGGGGAGTTGTAAGCAAAATTATTCGATGGCTTTTTCTGTCGGCTGTTAACGCAGAAACCGTGAAGCAGATCGAAACAAACTTCGCATAACTTTTCACAAGTTCATTATTAATTTAAAATAGTCAATTTTTTTTGGAATATACTATTAATAATCCCATTTTGGGTACATCATCGTCCTAGATGGAACCAAAGGATGACAGTGTAACAAAGAATTAGGTTTACCGAAAATATTGTATCTATCGAAAATTGCATCCATTGAAAATTGTGTTCATCGAAAATCGTACGTAGAGAAATATTTGACGGTTTTCTAGGTGCAAAATACATCGGCGATCGTAATTTCCTGAGACGTTTCTGTGTTTACGATGGGATTATCTGCGATTGACGCGTTCGTATAGTTTTCGAATCGCAACGTTTAATGAACCGTTGAATGAGTAACCACTGAAGAAATCATTCGAATTCGTCACGTCTCAATACCAGACGATGATAATGTGCCGTATAATGGTCTCGAGTACTGGATTAATCTTGTACCGGTTAATCAATACTACACAGACGAGATAACGAGTTATATTAGCGACACAATGATCGACCGGCAATTATGCCCGTCGGATTACGTTGACCGTAGTATGTAATATCGATCTACCAGTAGCTCACGGAACTGATCGCACACCATTTTAGAACGGAATAACTTTTTCCAAGATTGCGTCGAATAACTTGTATTTTTTTGGAGGGGATGTCAGAGTTCACTAGACAATGTTGAAAAATTATTCTCAAAAATTGTGATCGGTTGGACCGATGAAAGGATTAAAAAATGATGTATTTCAACTGTTTTATCCGAGCTTATAACGGAAAATGTATTTTGTAGATCCCGGTAACGCATACTGAAAAATACAACGAGTATAATAATTATCGCTATATTAAAAGGTTAAACAATATCTTAGTAAAAAAGAAGACGAAAAAAGGAATAGAGAAAGAACTGGAAACGCTTTAAGTGAACAAATATAGTTTTGAAGACAGCGATTAACAGGAATTGGAATAAAGACAATGTTTTATCCGCTGGGTCGGAAACGAGAGATCAATTTTACGGCGATAAGCAATTGCGATTGTGTCAATACGATCGATACGATTGCGAAGTATTAATGTCGCCGTCTACATGCCTCGACAATTCTTTTGTAATAACAACTGCAGCAGTTGTGTTTATCCGTGTGATCGCTATTACGTTGCAAAATCGTTATTTTCGTAAAGTTCGAAAGAAAAAATTGTAAAATACAAAGTTCAATGGAATCGATGATGCACTGTTAGATTATCATTCCGATTGGGCGATAATGTTGAGATAGGTGCAGAAAAGTACACTCGACGCATTCGACTTTGTAAAAATGTACAAATTAAAAACCTATCTTCTCGCGAGAGTCCGAGCACGGTTACATTTAAAGGTTAAACGTTTTATCAAAATCGAACCTTCGCCTCGAATGAAGAAACAACGGGCTCGTTCCGATCGAGTGATCGAAACTTTCGGTTAGCGGATAGAAGACGCGCGTCGCGATCATTGAACGAATTGTGTCGCGTTCGCGAATCGATCATCGCGTCGGAGACGTTTCTCGATCGTCGGCCAATATAATGGAATGATCGTCGGTGTTTGTCCTTAATTGTAACACGCGTGACGAGAGCTTGCAGCACGCGGATCGTTTATGCAATCGGGCGCAAAGTCCCTCTGTATCGATCGCGATTCATCGACGAACGATTTCAGGAATTACAGGATCGTTAACGGATTCGATCAGTGGAAATTGATCAGAATTCAGGAAACGGTCGTCTGTCGCGCGGAGAGATAGAAAATGCGCGCCTTCTAAAGATCTCGATCGATCTTAGACCCTTTGTGATCGGTGTCGCGATCAGCGATTGAGACGGACGATTCGCGAGCACAAACGAAATTGCTCTGATAAATTTTCCAAATTGTTCATTTTTCTATACAAGCTGAAGGAGAATCAGGGAGGATTTACTGTACTTGGTTAAAATGAAGAAACTTCTCGATGTAATAATATCGAAGTGAACATTATGGTCGATGCTCATGTATTTACTGTGCACGATTTACAATTTTTTGTGGAACATTCCGTGAAACACGTGCTCCCACGTAATTTCCTCAAAAACTATTAACGATGCTCTCGTTCGCCGACGTAACGATTACATCATTCCCACCATAAAGCTACAAATATTGCGAATTATACGGCATATTTAAAACGAACGGACATTTTACATGCACACTGACGCATCTTATGCAACTGATTGCCGTTGTTGCAGATATACGTCCAGCTTTAGCTAAACGTTTCAAAAATATCGGCCAGAGGAGGAAGAAAAACCGATCTGCGCTTCGCTCTACGCGCGAACTATACTTTGTCAGACGATTAGACTCCTCGGGGAGTAAAATTAGAGGCCGTAAAACAGATAATTTCGGCAAGTTTGCCTGGAAAAACACGGAATCTGAGAAACAGGCATGTTTGCTGGAAACCGGAGGAAATCTTTACGACCGGCATACGTTCCCTATTCTAATTACGCAGGGAATCATCGGTCGGATTGCCGAACAAAGCAATCAAAACGAGATTAAACATGTTCCCCGGCTTTTACGGTCCCATTATACGAATCAACGGTTTAATAGCTTGAATTTTATCAAATGGGACGGGGACGGACGAGAGATATTTGCGGCTATCATTGGTTTCCAGAGTTTCATTGAAACTCATCAACGCGTTAACTATTTTCTTAAATGAAGCAGAATCAATTTAAATTGACGCTAAGACCGGGCTCGGCGGTTTCCGGTCACGGACGGTATCCGCAGCTTCGTTTAAACTTATCACCGGATTAGCGTTCTAAATCAACCGAATTTCAGCCGAACCGTCTCTCGTTCGCCGATCAATCGTCCGTATCGTCAATCTCTGAACGAGACTTTAACGACTGCATCTTAAATTCGAAAGGCAAGCGAGACTAATTGACGTGAACTCTTACGCGGAACTATGATTGCGGAGATCAGCGTGGCGCACCACTCACGGTGCCTGAAAATCAGAAGTTGCAGCGATTTTGTTTCTGGAAGAAACGAGCACGTAGAATGCGAAAGAATCGAGACAAAGACGAAGATAAAGACAAAGAAAAGACGGACAGTTTAATATACCATTATATTAATAGACTCGTTGAAGTGAACGATGAACAGAGCTGGTTTTTATTTCGAATAAACATCCGCGGTCTAATTATGTCAATTAAAATTCCCCAGAAACGCCAAGCGGTCGGTGTCACGTTTAATAATCGTCGAGCACCGCGGCTCTGTTTACGGCGATAGAAATTGAACAATGATTTGTGGATATTGAATAAAACGATCTCAATGGACTTAAATTGTGTCCAGGCCCGTAGACAAAGTTCCCCGGCAATGATCGATCAGCGGATAGCGGCGCACATGGTTCTCCAAAGTGCCGCGTAGAAAGTTAGTGTCCTGCCACGGAGGCGGTCTCAGCTACGAAATTACGGTATCATTAACTATGGTATTCCACAGTCTCCTTCGGAACACATGTTCGTGACCACAGGTACCCACTACACGGTGAATTATTCAAAGCAGAGATACCTCTGTTCCGCGGCGTTACATAAGTTACGCGAATCAACTGTTGCCATTTATTAAACTTCGTCCCGAATTCGTTAGATACGCATCCGACAAGTTGCATCCTGATTCTCGTAAAACCTGGACATTCTTTCGTTCGACTACCTTCGAGTTCCAAAGTCTTCTTCGTTTGTTGGTTCGACTTTTTGTCATCTCTCCACGCTCCGGATATAATTACAATGCCCTCTTCATTTTGTAGTTCGCTCGTTCTTATCAATTTTAATTGTCCGAAATTCTAGGCGCCGCTATGTTCAGCTCTTTTCGTTTCCAGTCACGGAAATTCACGTGGATGATCGAAACTTAATTCCTCATCTCGATTATATCAAATTGATTGACTCATCTAGTATATGTTTATTTGTATCCTCGAGAGTGCAATAAAGCGGACATCTCCATGGCACCGATTTCCATAAAAATGTACAATCGTAGATCAGTGTAATTGCGAACGCAACTATTCGCCGCAGAATAAACTCGTCGAGATTCCGGACAATTTCCAAAGAATTCTGAATCGTTAGTGTCCGAGATCGCGTGTCCCATGAGCGATTCCTGTTCCTTTATCGGTCTGACATTGAACGAAAAAGCAAATGGCGGAGCGGAATCGACGTGATTATACGTCGGCTGATTTTTCTTTGCAGTGCGTAAGATGGTGACCAAGTGCGACGGTTTCGTTCTGAGCTGACGAGGTGTTCGTTTCGAGGTGAGGTCGGAATTGGCTAACACGTTCGAAGGAAGAAGTGGGAGTAGCGGTTCAATCGCTCAGGCATTGAAGCTGTTGCAGCGAGGCCCATAGCAAGAAACCATGGATCCCTATTCGTTGAGGTCAGTATCACTACGAACGCTATGGGGTGGCCTGAAAAATCGTAACGTTGGAATCGAGCCTGTCTGTGCACATTCCTGTTCGATCGACTGCTCTCGCACTTTGCCCTAATTCATTCTAAACTATTTTTGTAACTTCTTCATTTAACGACCTTTCATCTTCACTTAGCATCCACTCATCTTCATTTAGCAACCTTATATAATCTTTTCCGTGCCGACTTTACAATGCACGCATAAATTCATCTGCTTTGTAAACTCGACAATTTCCTCGTAACTGTGATTATGCTTTTGTAAGTCTTTGATTTTTTTTTTTTTGTAAATCCTACGATCTTTTCTCGAGCTCCAAGACTTATTTCCGAGTTCTATGATCCTTCTGGAAGCCTTAGAATTTTTTTCGCGCCATCTACAATTTCTTTCCAAGATCCATGATTCTTTTTGAGAGCTCTGCAATTTTTTCGCGAGTTCCACGATTCTTTTGTTAGCTCTACGATTTTTTCGAAGGACTCCAACAGCTTTATATGGAAGTTCTAACATTTTTGTAGATCTAAATATCCCGGCCTTAAAACAAAATTGTTAGGTTACTTGCAAAATCGAAGAAGGTACATGTCGTGTCCTTAAAAACTGCATTTACAATGAAATCTTTACAATTAAATCTCCACTGAAATAGCTCTAGATACTCCAGATTGTTCTAGCGAATTAAAAATATCTTTGACCCAATTACAACGAGTTGGGCCACAGCTGCAGCAATCAGCTTTTGGAACAGTTTAGAAGAATCTTTTCGGTCCACTACGCCTGCTAAACCGATCAAGAGCCTGCACACACTCCCCAAAGATCCTTTCCCTTTCCTTTGTCCTGTACGTTGCCTGTCGACCCACGAATGATCCGGGCCAGACTATCGAAGAATCCCATAGTAACCTCGATCCTTCTCCCTTCTTCACCATCGAATGCACATTGTGACCTTTCCTGGGACGGAGCGCATTATGGCACGTTGTTTGTCACAATGGGGCCAGACAATCGCCGTGTTCAACTAGTAAAATTCCCTCTTTTGTCGCCGTCATGGGAACGTCGTCTCGCATACGTATGAATTCGTTTAATGATCCTTAACAGCGTTTTCATTGAACCACGATAAGCATGGTCGAACTCAATTGCAATCGTTACAAGCGAACTGACTGTACCGGACGGAAAATTTCATCATCGACACTTTAGAACCAGTTTGTTTCGTCTTGGATAGGCTGACTGTCTCAAAAGTCGTTTCTTTGATTACAAACTGGGAAGTTAAAACTTTTTTCCTTATATATTTTTTAATTTCACATTCGTTTCAAACGTAGTTCATCATGTATCTCGCCTCTAGTTGCAAATGAATAATTCAATGTACAAGACTTTGATGTATCGTCTGGTTTTCTACAAAAAAAAAACAGTTTTACCGGAACAATAAATAATAGACGGAGAGCCTAACTCACTAATGATCGATGGCCAAACACTGTTGGCACTTCAAGAAAAATCTTCGTCCACAAACAGTTCCAAAAGACTGACACCTGTTAGACAATTATCTTAAGGAATATCGTCGTCGATTTACGCAGCATTTACATTTGCACAGCGCAAATTGCTCGTTTATTTTCACTTTCAATTACGTCCGGCATTTTTCCACGTGAGGAATTGATTAATAATTGGAGTAGCCGTGCGCGACAACGATGGTTTCATGTTAAAAATGGAACTAGAGACGTGTCGATAACACCGGCCAATTTGTTAGGCAAGCGATACAAACTCGGCCGAAGCGCAACGTCGGCTAAACGACTAATCGTTTTAATTACGTGTTCATTATCGAGCCGTAATTCTAGCCGGGCCGGGCTGATCCACGACCGGTTAAGCCATTGTTCAGCGGAAAGCAATTTTCAAAACTACCAGCGCCGTTCGGCCTGTCGATCGAACGGCTCCCGTTTCATAATAGCCCGGGGTGATCGAGGATTCTGGTGATGACACCATCTCTCGATCCCGAACGAGCCCGACAACGCGTTATTGTGATTCCTTCGTTGTCCTCGAGCGAGTTTTCGAGTTTTCGAAAGTGTCCTTCGGGTGTGGCACTCCTCGCTCGCGATAGCTGCGAGCGCGTCGCAACCGGCATGTTCTAATTCGATTAGCCCCTATACATTATATGTACTCCCTAATGATCGGCATGAGGGATCCTCTTTTCTGGGTCGATTGTTCCAATGGAAATCGAAATTGACGGAATGGAAATGAAAATTGAATCAGCGCAGGATAAAGTGTCGACTTCGAACATCTTTATGCAAAATGAAAACATCGATTTCATGAAATTTCTTTCTTTAACACCAGATACATCAAAAATCAGCCATTGGTCTTCTTTATTGAAGCATACATTGCAATAGAAATTGTGAAAAATTTAAATAAATTAAATTGCTCGTAAACGATCCGTTCTCTCATCGCTATAAAATAATATAAATTAGTCGTGTTTAAGGCAATTCTAGCATCAACGATTTCAATAACATGAATGTAATACTTCGACGCTATGAAACTCTTTTAGCCTTTCTACCGTTCAAACTCACATTGCTCCATGCTTCGAGATTTTAATGTAACGTAGGCGTTTGTAAGCTCATTTGTTTAATTTAACCTGATTTCTTTCAATTGGTAAATGTATAACACTTTCGGGTTTGTTGAGTCTTGTCGCGATGCTTCGCTGCTCTGCTTCGATCATAGTTATCATCCGTACGGATGATGATCGACACTGGAGTATCGTCTAATTTCAACAGGTTTATACACACTCCGTTGGTACGAACGTTTGGCAAACGTCGATGGAACACGAATAAACGAAATAGCGAACTTGCTGAGGCAGTTTTTTCGTTTACTGCGAGTTGTAAAATCGTGGCAGGAAGAGCCGATCGATAATTGCGAAGGTAGAGGATCCAAGCTTTTCAACAACTTTTAAAAGAAGTCCAGATTTATTATCCCCCTTTTTTTACGAAGTTATCACATTTGTCAAAAATGTGAAATTCGATAAAGCAATGCGATACGGTCGTTTCTCAAGTGAGGAATCGGAAACAAATGACTAAGCTTGTTTTATCATCTGAGACACGGGTCAGAGATTTCAGACCTCAACGTATGTATATGAATATTAATCGATTTTCCAGACTCGAAATAAAATATCACTTTGCTGTTATCACTGATCGACCTTTAGAATACATAGCTCTGTAGGCTCTCGATGAACACAGAATTCCTTTGTGTATAGTGAATCAATGACGAAGTAGTTTCGATCAGCATAATTGCGAAAGTAGCAATCTGAGGTTAACGATAGAAACAATCCGTGGATAGTAAATGTACCAAGCCATAGTCTTTTTCCAAATGTTGAATCTCAACGTTCAACCAGTATGTTCAATACCTTCAAATTGCCTGTCGTTTGTCTGTTATTAAACGGTTTGCCGAGTAACGTAATTTTTTTCGTTTTTAATGAAAACACGATAGTGATCAAATAGCGTACTAAATACTTGATTTGGCCACGATTCGGCTTTTAACCAATTTCATTGAGCAACGCGCGGGCCCTTGTCTGTCACAGGCTGGTCACTTAAGAGGATCAACAAAAATTCGGTATCGATTTATTAGGGGGAACAACAATTTTACAGCAGAATAAGCTCTAAAAGATATTGTAATTAGGTTAATGGCAATATATTTCAGTGGCCGTTATCCGGTGACATAAACTTTCCTCTGAAGCAGATACAATAACGCGAAGGAGTGAAAAAAGTGTCGCGGTTCGAGCAGCAAACGAGCGTACCCAATTTAATTTTAGCCGCGACCATTTCGCTGGTGTGTTTACGAGGGGCCGAGTCAGTGGCCACGAGAGTCTATATTGGAAATTAAAGTCACGCTTAGTACAGTAAATTCTCCCTAATTGGCGCTTAGATTGTACACAAAAATGGACAATTTGGGAAGGAGAGATACGATTATTCGAGCTTTACGGCTCGCTCTTATAGCTGTTGACAATCAGTAACTATCAATAATAATAATAATAATAATAATAATAATAATAATAATAATAATAATAATAATAATAATAATAATAATCGAATAATCGTACCGTCACTTCCCAAATTGTCCATTTTTGTTTCCAAGCTAATGGTCAATTAGAGAGAATTTATTGTATTTCCACCATCGGCGCCTCTCGATTCGCTGTAGCACGTGTTGCAAGAACAACGACGCAATAATAATGATCTTGGAAACACGAGGTTCCACGGGGTTAACGATGAAAAGTCAGCCAGATAGCCGTTCCCTCCCGTCCGATGCAAGTTACGTTGCCAATAGAACGGGCACGAGGCTCTCCGTCTTCCTTTTGTCTTTACCTTTCGATTGAAACCGCGACGACGTTTTTCCAAAGCTGATTTTCCTTCTGCTACGCGAATCGTTCGCGAGGATGCGCGGCGGACAGCTGTCTGCTTTTTATTTTCACGCAGGTATAAACCGTGACGTAAATTTTTACGACAGGCTCTTTTATTTCTGGTCTGGGTAGCCGTCTCTGACGCTTGGTTCCTCGAATTCGCGACAATTTTGCGAGAGGGGGGCAGATTGAATCTGTTTAATTTGTTCTTGATCACGTGACCGAGGGGTTTGGTTTTTCCAAGGACGAATTCGTCGGACTCGCGTCATCGATTAAAGGATGAAAGTACTTTCAATGACTGTGCATTAATTTCGCATAGGAAGAATGTCACCGTGATTTTTCGGTTCGATATTGTCATCTTGATTTCAATCGTCTATCATTTTATAAACTTGAGGGCTTAGAAATTGGTTGTAAAAGTAACTATTTTCATGGAGCTACTTGAAAGAAACAGTTCAACCTTTTCGGTGCGGATGAAAATTACAATGTTTTTTGATTTTCATTGATATTTCTTTCCTAATGTTATTAAACCTAGACACTTTCGAATGCTAGTCGAAATTACTGAACATTTTGCACATTAACACTAAACCAGCTCTATTAGTCAAGAACGAATTTATTCCTTTGC